CGTTGCTGCTTTTGGACTGACTTCTCTTGGCTCTGATCTTCTACCGATCCTGGGTTCATGTCTTCATCCTCGTCTTGCTCGTCCAAATCCTCGTCTGCTTCTGGCTCTGGTTCATCTACTCGACTTGACTCCTCATCTGCGTCTAATAGCTCTCCTGACTCAGCAACTCCTGTCTCTTCTCCCGCTGCTACTCCTGAACGCTGCTCTACACCTAATCAGCCGTACACTGAGTCTTTCGAGCTTGATCGAACTCCACTGCCATCACCGATCCACTTCTCCGATCCTGAATCAGACAATCCATCTTCTGCTCTTGACAAGCAATCTTCGTCTGCCTTGTCTTCTGCTCCTGTCACTCAAACTTCAGTCGATTCTTCTGCCTTGTCTTCTGCTCTTGCCACGAACTCCACGCTTGAATCGTCTGCTTTGTCTTCTGCTGAGCTTCCTGGTCCATCTGGTCTTGCATCAAACTCGGGGGGAACAACTCGCGCCCAGCGAAAACGTCTTGCTCTGAAACGCAAAAGACAGTTGGACGTCTTAGAAGCTGCTAAAGAAGGTCGTACTTCTACTTTACAAGCAAACCATCTCGCTCGTCAAGCTCGTAAGCTTACCAAGGTTGCTGTAAAAACCTACCAAGAAGGTTTACATAAAGCAAAGCAGGCTCACAAAGAGGAAGAAGAATTAAAGAAGCGAAAATTTACGTCCCGTTCAGAAGCACAATCAGCTTTTGAATCCATTGAAGCTCGGAAGGAATCACAACACCTTCTAACACGATCATCTCTATTAGCTGCTAGAGCTCTTCGCTTCACAGCCCACACTGATCTAAACGCTGATAATAATCCTTCTCCATCTAACGGTCTTGATCTTCTCCATAGGAAAACTTTTCAATAACTTGGTCTTCTCTTTTCTTTTGTCTTTTTGCGTCCTTAAATAAATAAAGTTTTTCCATGGCACCACCACTTGAAACTCCTGAACAGTCTGCGAATACTGACAGACTTGACAAATATGGCGGTGAAACCAATGAAATCAGAGTTGAATCTTGGTTTAAACTTTATGAACTACATATTCCTAAAGACGATGATCGAAAGCGAAAACTCATGTATTACCTTAAAGGTAAAGCACTTGAATTCTTCGCAGAAGAATGTACTGATGGTCGTTTTGCATATGCTACTGTCGTTAGTAAAATTACCCAACGATTCACACAAAATGTCCGCAATCCTCTAATCCAAGCACAGAAACTATATCTCCGCGATTCATCAATACGCGATTATTACTCTGCAAAAACCAAACTTCTTGCTTGCACCGAGTTAACAGAGTCTGACAAAATACAACAGCTAACCGAAGGTCTTCCATCCAGCTGGAAAATGTATTTTGACGCTGCCGATCCTACGACTTTAGAAAAATGGTTGAACATCGCCTTAAAAATGGAACAACGATCCTTAGATTTTAAAGAGTCACGATCGACAACCAATTCCTCGTCTAAACCTTCCGCAAAAACTTTCGCTACAGAGGCAAAACCTTTCGATAATAAGAAACCTCGTACACCTTGTAAATATTGCACCAACCTAGGAAAGACGGAATTTCACTGGCACCGGGAGTGTCCAAATCGTCCTTCCACATCCAGCGATACTCTAACCGCTACCTCCTCTTTTGCACAAGCTCTGTCAACTTCGTCTTTTCCTAGTCTAATAAATTTTCTTGGTCGCATCAATGGAAAGGAAGTTGTAATGACTCCCGACACAGGTTCTAATATTTCTATCTTAAGTTTGTCTGCAGCCAAGGTATTAGGCATTCAACCAATTGTTCATAATACTATCTCCGTTAAACAGCTCCACGGTTCTATCAAAACTTATGGAACTGCCCGAGTTAACCTCACAATTGGTCCGATAACACAACAAGTCACCTTACATATCTTCCCAATTAGTCACCCGGTCCTCATCGGTGTTGACATTGGAGAACTTTTTAATATTGATGTACATCAGAAACAAAAACAAATTTCTATAGCTTGCTCCAACTCCGCCAACCGAATCTTTATACCAAATTATTCAAACTTTCGAATTGTAAACCACCCAAATCAAACTTTAACAGCCCAATCTGAACAAATAACAGATATCAATAAACTCGTAGAAACGTATTCAGATGTTTTCTCTAATTCCGAAACTGATATTGGCAGGATTGACATTGAAACACATCAGATAAATACGATTTCACATCCACCAATTCAACTCCGATACTATCGTCGCCCTCAATCTGAATATGACGAAATAAACAGGCAAATTAAAGAGTTGAAAGAAAAGAAACTGATTCGAGAAAGCACTAGTCCGTGGGCTTTTCCGGTCACACTAGTTCCTAAGAAAGACGGCACTTCTCGAATGTGCATTGACTATCGACGTTTGAATAAAATCACGATAGATGATAAAATGCCACTCCCGATCATTTCCGAAATAATTGATCGACTCCAGGGTTGCAAATATTTCACTACTCTCGATGTGGCATGGGGCTACTGGCACATTCAAATGGACCCCAACTGTATTGAGAAAACTGCTTTCATAACGCACCAAGGTCACTTTGAATGGCTAGTTATGCCTTTTGGTTTAAAGAACGCTCCAGCTACATTCCAACGTATTCTGCAAAAGGTCTTGTCTCCGCTCCTGTACAAGGGTGTGATCAATTATTTAGATGATGTTATTATATACACCAAAACCAAGTCTGAACACTTTAAGATTCTCCAACAAGTTTTTGACGCATTTCGCAAGCATCACATCAAGCTTAAAATGGCTAAATGTAGTTTTTTGCAAACTGAAGTTGAATACCTTGGTCACTTGATTAAAGAAAACCTTGTTCAACCTTTCACCAAGAAAGATCAGAGCTATCTTGACAAGTTTTGAGCTCATTATGTTCAAGATGGAGAGTAATAGGAGCTCGAGATAAAGCATCCACATGTTGTTGAGATTTTCCAGGTCGATGGATCAAGTCATATTGAAAAGTTGACAGCTTGATGCACCAGCGATAGAGTTTTCCCCGTGGGTCTTTGAGTTCGAGAAGCCATTTCAATGCATGGTGATCTGTGTAAATGGTAAATGGAAGACCTAAGTAAATCTCAAAATGTTGGACTGCTTTGATAACTGCTAGGCATTCCAGTTCGAGAGCGCTATAGTTCGACTCGTGTTGGTTCAAAGTCTTCGAAAAGTAAGCGATAGGATGTTCGATCCCCTTATCATCTTGTTGAGTTAGCGTAGCCCCAATGCCAACAGAAGAAGCGTCAGTGTATAGACGGCAAGGTTTGTCTTTATTATACAAAGAAAGGAGCGGTTCTGTGGTGAGTTTAGTCCGGATGGAATCGAATGCTTGCTGTTGTACTTCGGACCAGATAAAACTTTCATTCTTACAAAGAAGTTTTGTGAGAGGACGACTTAAGCTAGCGAAGTCTGGAATGAACTTTCTGTAATAGTTCGCAAGCCCTAGAAAGCGTCTTACTTGCGTGATTGTGGTTGGAGTTGGAAATTCTTTTACGGAAGCAGTTTTCTTTGGTGAAGGTTGAACAAGGTTTTCTTTAATCAAGTGACCAAGGTATTCAACTTCAGTTTGCAAAAAACTACATTTAGCCATTTTAAGCTTGATGTGATGCTTGCGAAATGCGTCAAAAACTTGTTGGAGAATCTTAAAGTGTTCAGACTTGGTTTTGGTGTATATAATAACATCATCTAAATAATTGATCACACCCTTGTACAGGAGCGGAGACAAGACCTTTTGCAGAATACGTTGGAATGTAGCTGGAGCGTTCTTTAAACCAAAAGGCATAACTAGCCATTCAAAGTGACCTTGGTGC